GTTTCCAGTTACGATTTTATAATAACAAAGTGACAAACAACAAGGTTGACAGGTTTTGCTGTAAATTAAAAGTTGTAGAACTGCAATTCACTTCACTTGGTGAAATTGAAATTTGTTGGTAGATGCATGACAAGTTAGAAATATGTTTCCATCCAATTGATCGTTTCAAATAGGATACTTGGTGTCATAGGTGCAAGAGAGGTCAAAGCAAATACTCTTGCACCTGTGTTGGATTTCCTCTCAGAATCGTAAAAATAAAAATAAAATACTATAAGGCCCATTTGCAAACTTCAGCCCTCTTTTAGCCCAATCATTTCCAAATCTCAGATGAGCCGCCTCATATTCTCTTGGCCAGAAGAGAGCTCTTAGCTACAACTACAAGGCTACTTTCTATATGTCTACTTGTGTTTTAGAGTCTTTATTTAAAGATGTGTTTTCTAATAAATAGTTTAAAACTTGGTGTTTGGTATGATAAAAGGTATGTGACATCAAGCACTTCATCACTCACCATGGCCTGTTCTTGTCCTAGCTAGCTGTACACACAATACAAAAGAGTCTTAATTTGCATATTAGATATCTCAAGTTCAAATACTCACGGCCATCATAATTATGTGTATAAATATGAGAAATTCTCCTTCTCTATCGCTTATACCGAAAGAAACTAGCTCCTCTCAATAGTCAATTATGCATGTCAGTATACTCACCAAAATAAACATCTAACTATTGCGCATTAATTGTGCCGAACTTGTAGATGATGATATTGCAAACAAAACAACCGAAATACATTAGAGGACAGGAAATCGGCAAAACACATACACCCATGGTGCTCAACCTTAGCCACAAAGACCCTTGGTGCTCCTTGTTTTTTCCATTGATGCCAACAATTATTATTTTACGTAACATATAATTCAATATTGTGGGTCGCTGTTGTCCCAATCTAATGAAGTTGGTTGTTAAAACCCAAGTAATACATTGGACCATTCTTGAATGGAATTTTATTTTTTTGGCATCTCCATTCTTCTGTATTTTTATTTTTCAAGTTTTATTAGCCTGCAGTGTGACAAAACCAATATAGAAAAGAAAAAAAGAACACATATATTAAAAACCCACATGATTGAGATGTACCCACTAGTTATGTGTGAATGGAATGGAATGAATATATAAGTGATCAGGTAATGTGTTATATCATGGTAGCGTGGTAATATTTGCAAAATAAAACTAGCTAGTTTCCTTAATTGATTTGATAGCTTAGCTTTTCCTTCGATGGAAGCTTCTTTAAAATGCAAGTTATTGAGAAGGCTTTTGCATATCAATCGTCTTCAAGTTATTAACAAATTAAAATTAATTAGGTACATTGGATCTCACGTACTTCTTAGCAAATGATCCAAGTTTGGCATTCTAATCTCCAAGATAGTGAAAGAAGAAAAACCTAACCCTATATATATCAATGTGTCTGCCTATATAGAATTAGATTTTGTCTAATTTGGGTATGGGTACCACACGTGCAGCCTTCCAATTAATGCATGTGGCTATAATTATACTGAGGGAAAATGGCAAATTCCAACTGAGTAAAACACTTGGAGGCATATATATATATATATATATATATATATATATAGGAGTGTATTATTAGTATATATATATATACAAAAAATTTCCAGTGCAGATATGCGGATGAAAGAATAACTTATATATATATTACTATTTTATTGAATTTGGATCCAAATCCAATAGTTGACATTAATTCTGAAAAGTTGGAACGTTTTGAATTTATTTATTTGTTGATAACCAAACTTGAATGCTAATTATTAGACTTTTAAAAGCTCTGAAGGACGATCGCCGCTCACTTCCTTGTTCTACATTAGTACATTAGATATGGGTAGCTATTAAGAGCAAGCTAAGTACGCAGCTAGCTAGGGTTGGTATGTGAAAACTGTAATGTCGGCTGCGCAGCAAATTAATTAGACACGATTGAGTTAGACTTTTAAGTGAATTGTTTAATTTTTGAAAGTTCATATCGCGATATTATTGATAATATTGAGATATATTGACCATTCGCAGCTGCCAATTGAACGAAAATATTGTAACTGAAATATCGGCGAAATTATCGATATATAAATGGAAATGTGCTAAAATATCGCTACCCAAAAAAAACGATAATTTCGCCGAAATATCAGCGAAATTATCAATATTTCGTTCTATGGTTGACAGAGGCGGTGGATTAGTATTTGGGTTGGACCACGCTAGGTAGATAGCTGCGTGCATGCAACAAACGAGGGCAGCATCAGGAAGGAACAGAGGTAATCTAAATTCTAATGAGAGGCTTAGGCGCAGGCCCTTTTCCTTTTCCTTTAAGCTGGCAAACTCAAAGGAAAGAAAGAAAGAAAGAAAGAAGAAGATATAGATATGTAGTTGAGCAAACTCAAACCTACCCATCTCCATTAAGCATTAACCCCTACGCACGGGATCCATCCATCTATCAACACGTTTGGATTTCCTTGTCAAAAACCAATTTTATATTTCCGTTAGTTGTGTGCACCCTTAACCTCTCACTTTGATCTGCTCTTCTCTTGTCCTCTTCTGCACCACATATACCTGAAATCATCCTTTAATTCATCATTATTATTTGTTTCTTCTTAACTCTCAACTGTTTGCCATCAATGCATGCAAACCCTAACACATGACATCACATGCATGTTCTATAGCATACCAGATTCATGATATCTGTCGAAATGAAAGGATAAAAAATATTGACAAGTGACAAGATTTTCTCTGTGTATTGCTCTTGTCTTGACGTATGCATGCATGATTTTTCAACATTAATTTTCGATCAGAATAGTTATATATATATATATTCAACTTAATAATACGGCTTACCTGTGCAACAGAAGAGTCCATTTGATTTGAGTAATAAAAAGGAGAATCAATCGTCATATAATTAATATAAAAACAGTAAGCAAAACATCATATCAAATTAAGAAGCAATTTATATGCCCTTTTTATTATCTAATATTCTTTCTTGCTAGTTATAATTAATTTGTACAGGAAAAGGCAATAATTAACAAGTTAGGTTAAGGTGCAATTAGAATTAGGTGCTGTATTGCATGGTGATTTTGGTGAGAGTGTGTGACACTGACAGCAGATACAAAATGACACAACAAAAGAGCGTCATCATGTTCCAATTTTCCATGCCCAACCACATTATATTGTTCATTTACTATGACCATCCCTTTGGAAATTCAAATCAATCTTTTCCTTGTGATTCGATTGAAGGTTCATGTATACTTCATAAGTAGGGAAAACTCAAAGAAAGACACCAACGTAACTTCTCTAGTTTACATAAAAGTCAAACAAATTAAAAGATGATTGGTTGCTAGATGGGCAAATAAGATGTTTATGTTACATCTATTGAATTTGATATCGCTTGTGGTTGTGGAGCTTATTCATTATTCTTCTTCTTCTTGTTTGTAGCTCTAATTTTTTAGAAAATAAAAATTGTAAAATAAATTAAAAATGTCCGAGTCACATTGGATTTCTCGAATCTTTATGTGTTGGTTGATTACCACAAGAAAGGAAAAAGAACATTGTCTGTGACTAATTTATGAGTGACTTATAAAGAGGTTTTCTAGCAGTGAACTTGTCTCCAGTTTACCCAAAAATACTCTATATATATATATATATATATATATATATAAAATTTGTTGACCAGTGTAAGTTGTAACCACTGCTTCTACGAGTCTGCTCCCTACAAAATTATGCAAATATAATTGTTTGCGGCCAACTCTTACAGATGACATGCAAAGTGTGGCAACAAACTATTGGCAAATGAATTACGTGTACACATTTTGATGGGTTTTGGAAGGAATGATTCAGAAAACAATTGCAAAAACCTATGGCTCCCATGGAAAGCAGTACACAGAGTCCCCATGCACCAATCGATAAGTGAGCGGTGCTGGTGCATTCTTCTTCCCCATCAGTACTGAGCCTCTTCTTGCATGCATGTAAACATCCAAGTCAAACTATTAGAAAGTGCTTTTTAAAGAAGCACTTGCATTTGTATGTCTCAGAAAACGCTTTGCCGTTTTTAGGCTAAGGTTTTTTGTTTTTTGTTTTTACATTAACAATAGTCAAAATTACTCTAAATTAATCTAATATGTTATCAACGGAACTTGAACTATATAACCCACATATATGCTAAAAGCTGAGTGACTATTTTTTGTTTGTTTTACAAGCTATAATAGTCTAAATTACTCTACATTAATTTAATATATTGAAGATTCAATTTTAAGTGTAAGAGGCGCTCTTTTCACTATCCTAACCAAATGACATAACCCACCGCATATGCACTAAACCTGAGTTATATTAGAAGTTTGTGTTATAGTAAAAAATAAATTTCTTATAAACGTAACATTTTCTCACTCTTTACTATAAAATCTTGGATTTTTGTTTTAAGTAATATATATATATATATTATTCTATTCTAATTGGTTGGCACCACCTTATCCAATCTCACATGGGCATGGCTGTTGGATACACTATCTCAATCAGTCGATTAATTAAAATTGTTAATTTTATGAAAATCCTTTTTCTATGAAAATAAATAATAATAAAGTCGTGATTAATAATTTTCTCATACGATAAACACAAACATCAGAATTTTTACCCTTTTATCGTTTTCTGTATGCTGGTTATAATTGAATTTCATAATTTATTATTTAATTGTTAAAATTCCAGGTTGTATCCCATCCCTTAATCCTAATTGCTGGTTGCCATCCAGACCCAGAATAAAATAAAATTGATGGTTGCCAGGTTGTGAAAGGAAACTGAGTGGGGACCAAAAGCTGAGTAAACATTAACGAATTAAAAGGCTATTTAACGGCTATTATAACTGTTTCCGACTTTACCAATTTGCTCTTTCCACGAACTCACAATCACGAAGTTGCCACTGAATTGTGTCCGTTGCAGTAGTGTCCATGTCACTATTGTTGTGCAGTCCGCCTTGACTGTCAGGAAAAAAGAAACGTCTGGGTTTTACCAGCTTCTAGCTTCTCACAAGTTCCACAGGCAAACGTATCAACGTTCAAATTGCCACCCACACCACATGCACACGCACGCATAGTCAATCATCGTTTTGTTTAGATGTAAGGGTCGATTCACTATCCTAATCAACTGACTTAATATAGATGTGCATTTTAATATCTTCATTTTTTTGAATGTGACTGATTTTGAATTCAAATCTCATAAACAAATATTATATCGTCTATAAACACATAAAATATAAAATAAATTATTTGAATTTTGTGTGCATTATTAAAGTTTAAGAATATGATTTGCATGTAACGGGGCAGCCAACAAAGTTGATGAGTCAAAAATGTGGTATGCGGTTGGTTGGGTGATGGGGGTTGATTGATGGAAGAATTAAAATGGTCTACTTTCTAAACGAAATTGGTTTTGATGACTTCCAAAATATACCATGAGTCTAGCAATATTTGACGAATCAAAAAACTATATTATATGAAGTATTATATTTGAGATGACAGGAGGGTGCATATTTTGAGCTGGCAATTCAGACTGTTAAGCACACACATCACATATGGTTGAGCTACTCGCCATCAATTTTGGATGTGGATCATGGGATGCATTTCAATTTGGCATCGACATGGCTAATACGTAGCTCAACTAATATATGTTATTATGACTTTTATTTTTGAATATTATATATGCGGCCACGATGTTCTTGTTAATGTTTGGAAGTTACAAGATGGATAATCATACAAGTTTAACCCCCTTCTAGTGTGAAAAGACGGCTATTGTTTCAAGGTGGGTGGGCCAATTACTCTTTTACACCTTTGAATTACATTAACAATGTGTGCTAAGGTAACCAAAAAAAAGAAGAAAAAGGACCATGCCTTAATTTACTTATTTCTCTTCGTTTTTCATGTACATAGATATTGGGTGGAGAAATTTAAAGACAGAACCTCGAGTGCATAATGTAAGTCCTTAATTACTTACAAATCCTTATTTTCTTCCTCTATTTAAGCTCATGTTTCATCTCCGCCGAAATTCTTGTATTTCCAATATTAAATTTCATATTCGAATTAGCCTCGTATTTATAATTTCTAAATGAAAAAAGAGAGGATTTTGTAGCTATGGTCTAGGAAAATAAAATTTTGGATAGGATTCTATAGGATATTTCCCTCTATCCAAAGACAGTTTGTAATCATTTTAATAACATTTTTATGGGACTCCTAACATAAAAAACATCTTTAATCATCTAACTTTTCTGGGACTCTTAACATTTTATTCCCCAGTCAAAAGAAAAGTTATTTATTTGGCCAAAAAAAAAAGTAATTTAAAAAATAAATAAACGGTGCCTCAACAATAATTGATGGCAATTTAATTATACGAAGAAAAGGAGAAAATATTAAAAAGGGAAAGGGCAAAGACGTAAATGGAAGGAGAATAGTGTTGGAAGAAGTTTGGAAGTTGAACATGAGGCGGGATTTAAGTAAAGCCAGGTGGAAACTATATATTGAGTCGCTGGAAGCCAATTCCCCACCACCCGCAAAACCGCTGGCCCTAAATCCCTTCTCTCTCTCTCTCTCTCTCTCTCACTTTCTCTTCTCTCAGTTTTATTTTTGGCTTTTGAAAAAAAGCTAAAAGAAACACCAAGGAAGAATCACAAACCCTAGAAATTACGCAGAAAAAGAGGGTTTTCCGATCCAAAATGACGCAATAGCCCTCCCCTCTGCTTTGAATTGCACACCTTTTGAGTTTGTTCGGGTTATTTCTCTCGCTGGTTAAGGTAAGGGCCGAGGAGGTCCAGATATATTTCATTTTCACGTCTGATCCGGAGTGTGTCTGTTTGGTTGCCGAGAAAGTTGAGGTAAACAGAATGATATGAAAATGTTGCCGCGTTGTTTCGGTTTCCGTTTGGTTGAGCGGAGGTCTTTTGTTTGGTTTTTATAATCAGAGATCTATTTAAAAAAAATTGAAATTTTGAATTATTCTCTTTTATTTCCACATTTTCTCCGCAACCGCAGGCATCAAAATAACAAGTTTATTTGCTTGGAGGAACGAAGCGGCAAAATGGTTCTTGATTTATTTACAAGTTTTTGTTTTGGTTTATGACGTGAAATTTGCTTGGTTTCTCACTTGGTATGTGTAGCTGCAAGCTCAGATCTACCTTGATTTCCTCTGCATATATGCGCAAAATTTTAAATTTTTTAGGCCTTAGTAGGTTAATCGATGTGCTTCCGAAGTTCTTGTATTTTAGAGGCAATTAAATTTCTTTGAAGGTTCTTATAAAGTTTTCTTATTTCTGTGGCTTACCCATTTTTCTCCCCAATGATTTAAGGTTTCTCTGTCACTTTTGTTTTGTCTTTTGGAGTTCCGTTATTGAAGATGAAAACATTTGCCGAAAAGTTTAATTGCCAGTTTCGTATGGGGTCAAATTGATTGTTATTTGTTCTTCCTCCGTTTTGCAGTTCTATAAGGATAATATGTTTTTCGAATTTGAATATAGAGCAAAATATTCGAAGTTTCTGATAATAGACTGGTTTCTAGAAAAAAAAAATTCAGAAAATGTTGAACACAAATTTTTGCTTTTTTGTTGGGTACTGAAAACTGAATCAGATAATGTTGTTAGCGTAATTTGTTTATGAAGAACATTATTCTTGGTGTTTGTTGTAATTAAGTTATTGAACGTTTTGGACCTGTTGATCGGTTATTAGGTTGATGTCTGCAGTGGTAACATGTTGGCGTTTTCTGCATTTTGCTGAAGATTTGACTATTCTTGCACCCCTTACTATGAAACAATATTGACACGGTTTGTATTTTACTGTTGCAGTGCCTTGATTGCTAACCCTTCGCTCTGACTGAATTGTCATCATGGTCGCCACTGCTGCTACTTCATCGATCTTTCCAATTCCTTCTCCAAACCAAGACTCTGGTGCCAAAAATGCGAAGCTTGGAACTGGGTCTGCTGGTTTAGGACTCAAATCGAAATCTGCATCGGGCAGTTTGCAGGTAAAGGCAAATGCTCAAGCCCCTTCAAAGATAAATGGCGCTAGCGTTGGTTTGGCAACTGTTGAAAGTGGGAAGAATGGGGATGACATGTCATCCCCTCCTGCACGGACTTTCATTAACCAATTACCTGATTGGAGTGTGCTCCTTGCTGCTATTACCACAATCTTCTTGGCTGCAGAGAAGCAATGGACGATGCTTGATTGGAAACCCAAGCGGCCTGACATGCTTATTGACCCATTTGGTTTAGGAAGAATTGTTCAGGATGGTCTTGTCTTCCGCCAAAACTTCTCAATTAGATCATATGAAATAGGTGCTGATCGTACGGCTTCAATAGAGACGTTAATGAATCATTTACAGGTTTTTGACACATTCAATTTCATGGTTATAGCTTTTGAAGATGCATTCGTTATATAAATTTGTAGTGGAGAGATTAAAACTTAAAAATGCATGTTATGTAACTGTTTTTGTGTGCTTGAGCTTGAATTTCATTTTCTTCGTTACAAGCCTTGACGTTAATTACTTTTCTTTTCTGGCTGCAGGAAACAGCACTTAATCATGTTAAGACTGCTGGGCTTTTGGGAGATGGCTTTGGTTCAACACCAGAGATGTCAGTAAGGAACCTGATATGGGTGGTAACTAAAATGCAGGTTGTAGTAGACCGCTATCCTACTTGGTAAGTCAACTAGATTTGCTGTTATCTATTATATGAATTCTGTATAGTTCATGGTATCTGTAAAATTTTGTTAAGATGATGCAGCATTATTTAGTTTGAAATTTGAAGTCCTTTATTTGAGTTCCAGTTGCAATGACGCTTTGTTGATTTGTCAGGCTTAACCCATATTATCTGACAGAGAAAGTTCTTTTATGTTTATCCTTGTTGGAGTCATTGCTCATTTATGCTAATCCATGAAGAGAGGAATTTTAGTTTGTTCTTAATTAAAAAACGATTATTATTAATGCATAGTATAATTGTGTGTTAAAGTGTACTTTCATGCTATGATCTTGGGATTTCATGATTTTTTTTTTCTCTAAAAGAAGAATTTGATGATATATTTTACTCTAAATATCTTTAACTTTTTGTTATCTCTGGATGGTTATAAGTTATAACAACATCAGACATGATAAAAATTGACCAGTATTTGAGATAATTAACATATAACTTGATGTCATCGAGATTGCATCTGACATGGTGCTCTGAAGGACTTGTCTGATTGTCTGTGAAATTGCCTCTAGGCATTGGAGCAAGTCATGCTAGTTTTGCTATAAGTTGAAGTTCTGAAATTAAAGTGTGAGTCTTAGATTTAGGGCAAGGAAAAAGCCAGTTGAATTGGTAACTTGGTTTGTCCAATCTAGCTTGCTGTTGATGTTGGGTATATGAGTTTGTTGTTGAAGTTGCTATCAAAGTTGTTTGGGGAATATGTTTTTGTGGCATAGCACTGGGAATTTGAGATCATGCCTTGAAGAGCAGTGGGGACACTTGATAAGTTACCGTTTGAATTTGATATTCATATTAAACACGGGCACATGGTTGATGTATGGTTTCAGAAAAGTAATTCAAGGTGTTATTTGTAGATATGCTGAGCTAATTGCTTATTTTCTCATTAAGATTCTTCTTTTTCCCACACTGTGTTTTGAAGTTTTGAAATGCTATTTATTATCTTTTGTCACTGTGTATAATGATTTTGGCATGAAGGTTTACTGTATCATGAACTTGATCAGCTTGCTCCTGTGATGTGTTCATATGCATTTGCATTCTGATTCTGTCAGAGTTGATGTAGTTGTTTTGGTAGGGGAAAAATGCTTGATGTAGAACCCAACTAAACTCCCGATACAAGAATGAGTGTTAAGGTTTCGATGACTTCTGAATCTTAATTCGTTTGCACTAATATATAATTCTACACCCAACTAGGTTAAACTGACAAGTTGTATGCCATCTGTTTTATCTGATTACTTTGTATAATTATTTATCTTTGAATGAGAGAATAAGAGTATGTTACTTATTAATTTGATTGGACTATTATGGTGATGGGCTGAAGTAGTTTCTATCTTGCAGGGGTGACGTTGTTCAAGTTGACACTTGGGTTAGTGCCTCTGGGAAGAATGGTATGCGTCGTGATTGGATCCTCCAGGATTGCAAAACTGGCCAAATTTTAACAAGAGCCACTAGGTATCTTGTTCTTTTTTCACAAATAATTAAATAAATGTTTTCTATGACTCACATGTCGCTGATCCAAGATAGCTTTTGACAAGTCAACTAGCAATATAGTGCGCTAGCACAATTAAATGGTATTTGATCGGGATTTGATGCTTTTGCAGTGTGTGGGTGATGATGAATAAGCTGACGAGGAGATTATCCAAAATTCCTGATGAAGTTCGAGGTGAAATAGAGCCTTTTTTTATGAATTCTCCTCCTGTTGTGGAGGAGGACAGCAGGAAACTGCTGAAACTTGACGACAAGACAGCGGGCTTTGTTCGCGCTGGTTTAACTGTACGTCAATCATCTTTGCACAGAATTTGTTATTGATTTAGGTGCTAGCTCACCCTGAAGGATACTTTTCTATTTGCAGCCTAGGTGGGGTGATTTAGATATCAACCAGCATGTTAATAATGTGAAGTACATTGGCTGGATCCTTGAGGTAGGCTTCTTTCCATGGAAATTTCACTTCTTTTCAGCAGTTCAAGAGGATGGTGTGCAATGTACTACTGGGTCTACTGATTCTGAAAACCAGTTGAAATTAAACTTATATAGCGGGCCTAAAGTAGTTAATGGATGCGTTATGTAGAGTTTTTGGATGGATGGATGATCAATATTTTTCTGTGAGAACTGCTTCTGCTTCTAATCATACATGCCTCTAATTGAAAGATGATTCTGGTTGATGCAGAGTGCTCCCTTGCCAATCTTGGAGAGTCACGAGCTTTCTTCTTTGACTCTGGAGTATAGAAGGGAGTGCGGGCGGGACAGTGTGCTTCAGTCCCTGACTGCAGTCTCAGGTGCTGATATCGGCAATTTGGGAAGCAATGGCGGCGTTGAGTGCCAGCACTTGCTCCGACTTGAGGAAGGAGCTGAGATTGTAAGGGGAAGGACTGAGTGGAGGCCCAAATATGCCAACAATCTTGGGATTGTGGGTCAGCTTCCGGCAGAAAGCGCTTAGCAAAATATTTGGGTTCTTTTAAGGCTGGATGGATCGTCACTAGTCACCTCGCCGTGTGCCCATTGCTTCTGTAGAATCCTGCTCGTGTTTCTCGGATTTATATATGTTTCTTCTTTCTATATATATAATTTATATATATTCTCTCTCCCATCTGTCATCATTCGAAAAAGATAAAATGTAGTCCCGTTGTAATTAGCCGTTGTGTTCTCTCCTCTCTCTCTCTCTCTCCTCCGCCTCCTCGTGCCTCTATTCTATTGGTTTTGTGCCACTTGGAACCTTAGCTGTAGCTGTAACTGTAACTCCAGGTTAATTGCCTTGGTTAAACTGGGCAAGACAAGACAAGACATGTATTTTTCTTTTTTTTTTTTGCCATTTTTTCTAGTTAGATATGGGAAATTTTTTTCATTGGTTTGGTTCACATTTGGATCGTTTAATACGGCTGAAACGTTAATGAATAATGACATCGGCTTGCACTGTTTTCTCTACCTTATCAGTTTTTTTATTTATTAGACGCCTCATTTTTTATTTTCAGAGAGAAAACTTGTACTGTTCCAACACGAAGGGAATCTCTTCAACTGACCCCAAAAACAGAAAAGAAAAATATGTTGACACTTGGTTCTGGCGGGCATGGTTTCGTTTTGTACTTAAGCTGAAAGCTGTGGCTGGGTCATTCTGGGCCATTTCTATAGTGGGCCATTTCTGAAAGAGTTTTAATTAAGGGAATCATAGAGTATATATATATATGGGCAATGATTTCCCCACTCCTTTTTTAGTTATATAAAAAAGGATTGTAAGTGGATAAAATAGGAGAAAAATGAGTGGGGAAATCACCACTCATATATATATATATATATATATATATATATTGGAAGCTTAAACCCATATTAAAATTCTGTTATAAAAAACCCCATATTTAAGGGATGTGTTGTTACTTAATACAACTCATGACAGCACATAAATAGGTTGGAAGCTCTCAAACCCACCATGAGACCCCCACATGATTAGGCAGCAATCCCAAGTGCTTAATTAGAGTTAACGGCGCAAATCACTACATTAATTATAGTATATTATCTATAACACGTGCCAACTACAACTACTCATGAATCCTATGCTCTTAACTCAGCTGGATTTGGTGGTTGATGTCGAATCCCATGAATCTCACCATTGTCTTCACAATAGTGAGATTCCAGAGGTAATAGGGTTAATAAAGAGATCGAATTCGGATGCAAGAAGACAGACACTGATATGACTTGATAACTGATCTAATACGCATCCTATATAACATATTAATTGATTAATGGAAAAATGAGAATATTAACACCTAATCTCAAGTTAAGAATCCGACAAAAAAAAAACAAAGAAGAAGAGTTAAAACCGGTTTGTATAAAGCTAGGGGCCGCTTCCGGTTTTTAACAGCGAGAAGTTTTTAGCTGTAACCTCAGCCCAGCAGCATCTTCCTTATTTTCATGGCTTGCACTTTTGGAGTTTAGATACGATGAATAGGAAGGCGACACGTTGCCGACATTCCAACACTTGTCACATGCTTGTCGCCATACTTCATCCTTTCATTTGGAAACTTGAAACACTTTAAGCTTACGGATCATTATATCCTTATCCCCCCCACCACACTCTTAAGTTTTATTGTTTATTTTTCACGACTTTGGGTTTAAGGATCCATGTCTATTAACGTGTGGATTGTGGAACGAGGATTAATACATTTATTTTGTTATTGTTCTATCATTTTAACTTTGTTTCAAGAAATCCTATAAGAACTCGTCATGTACGTAGCTCATCCATTTCTGTGTAAAGTTTTGAATTTAACTATTCCTGATTAAAGAGAAGAGGAAGAATCTAATTACTTTGTTTTTGTTTCAAGTTATGAAGGATAAAGATGAGGTAAAACCCATGTGCTAGTAAATCAGGAACTCGCACAACAGCAGTAGGATTCGAACAACCGACCTCAAAGTTTACAGTCGGCCCAGCTCATCCAAAGAGTGTAATTAGTTACCTCTTCAAAACTGATAACCATTAAATTGACTCTGTCACATACATACATAATACATTACATCAATGAGTACTATTGCTGATGTGGAAATTTCCTTGTACAATCAGACAGACATTTCCAGCATCAGCAATGTATGGTAAAATTTAGTAAGTAAATGACTAAATTGTATATTTTAGGATGTAAAGCTGATTCAGAGAGAGTGACAGAAACTGGTTTGGATTGAATGTACCGGCAGGCGGCACAAACTTCTAAGCTGCTACTGTCAAACCATGCATGTCAACCGCAAGCAGCGCTTCCACACGTGGCCTCTGCTCATTGGCAACCCTCCTCCAGTCATTCATTCAACTCTCTCTCTCTCTCTCTCTCTCTCTCTCTCTATATATATATATATATGTATATATATGTATATATATGTGTGTGTGTGTACAGGTACAGAGGTACATAGAAGCTACAGCAAAAGCAACAACAACAACCACACGTTCACAACCCACAAAATCACCCAACACCAAGAAGCAGCATTTGATGTTTTTTGAGCATTGCATTTAGATTTTGGGACAGCATACTTACTAATCAACATGAACATGCCACCGGAAGCTGTTGACGATTATGATGTCAGCAAAAGCATGGATTTTAAGGAAACTGAGCTCACCTTAGGACTGCCTGGTCGTCCACGACGTTGTTCTTCATCAGCAGCTGATCATTTCTTCGGAGGAATCAAAGGTGGTAGCTGCAGCATGAAACGTGGGTTCATGGAGATCGTTGATCAGAATATTGGCCTGGAAAGCTTTACCAGCTGCGAGCCACGTAGCCAAATCAAAGTGGATCAGAAGTTGGAAGCTCATTTCAACAACTGCTCCTCCTCCAGCTCAAGTAGCAGGACAACTACTGCCGTGAAATCCCCAGCTGCAATGTAACTACAAAACAAAATGTTGCTTTAATTTGTGGTGAAATGGTCTTTTTTTATATACTATTTGACGAGATGATTATATTGTCAAACTGTGAATTTTTTAAACGACGAGAGTTCTCTGGGATTTGTATATGTTATAGTGTCGTCGTCGTGTACATGTTATCAATTGATAGTATGTGTGTTTGGGGTTTTGATATTCAGGGCAAGAGTAGTTGGGTGGCCACCAGTGAGATCGTTGAGACAGAAGGCGTTGGTGGAGAGCAAGATGAAGAGCAAGAACAAGAGCACGTATGTAAAAGTGGGTGCAGATGGAGCTCCTTACTTGCGGAAACTAGACTTAGACATGTACAAAAGTTATCAGGAGCTATTGAGAGCCTTAGACCAAATGTTCCCTTCCTTCATTACAAGCGGTGAGCATAATATTGCTTAATTAGTTGTTATATATACTCTAATTACAAGGTTATTAATAATTAATTACTTGGTCTTACTTATGTGTGTAAATGTTAAATAAATAATATGGATCGTTAATGGTTTAATTAGGCAAATATGTAGAGGATACTACTAGCAACCAGGAGCAGCTTATGAAACCTGCAGTGAAAGGAATGGATGAATATATGGTGGTGACATATGAAGACAAGGATGGGGACTGGATGTTAGTTGGAGACGTCCCTTGGAAGTAAGAGTTTTATTTTCTACTGCTGCTGATGAAATATAAAAGCGTGTTCACTTCACAGAGGCATTAATTTCTAAAATATATGCATGTTTGTATGATGGGTGCAGAATGTTTATAGAATCATGCAAGCGTATTCGGTTGATGAAAAGTTCAGAGGCTGTTGGGATAGGTAAACTAGCTAATGGCCTACTGCTTTACTTCACTAGAAACAAAATGTTTCTCAATAATTTTCCCCATTTTTAGTATTTAATGCAAACTTCTTCTTCTTCTTCTTTAAAAGATTGTCATATGTTGATATTTATGTCTGCAATTATTTATATGCATTGCAAATTTGCATGCAGCTCCAAGGACGTCTCAGGTTCTGCCACAGTGAAATGAATGGTACTGATCAAGCACATGTATGTGCATATATTAGATGGGCCCTGTGTTTTTCTTATTAATTAGGACCATATCAGTGTTTAGGATCCAACACAGACACCTCCTTTTTCTGGTTTTCTGTTTTTTTTCCCATCAGTGAGAATAAGAGAGAAATCTAGATTGTACCCTTTTCTTTTCACCTTTTTATTCCAATTTCGTGTCTTTCAGTGGATCTTGATTGTAATTACAGCTAGCGTGCTTTCATGACCTTTGTTTGCTGACACCATCATCATATATCTCATGAATGAGTGAGTACACTGTACACTGTACATGTACTGAATCATAGTCGTGTGCAATTTGCTGTTTAATTCTCCCAAACATTAATAACTTCCCCATTAAATATTAATTATCCTTAATTTGGTGTTCCTAAATAAGATTATTAAATATACACCGCCTATCATTCATTTTCTAATATTTCATAAGAGTAAGTAAACTCAATGGGATCTGTGTTTATAAGGTCAAACAGAGCAAAGCAAAGGCATAATTAAATTAATCCAAGCGAATACATTCTGAATTCTTCTCAGTGGGATGGAAGGGCCAAACCAAATGGCCAATGGGCCATGACCCTTTTGAGAAAATTGCTCTGGCTTAAAAAGCAGAGCTGCTAAAACGCTAGCTTTTTTACTGGCAAAGCATAATTCGGCCAAGAAAGTGAAGCAATGTATTATTACATTGGAGTTACCAGAAATAAAGTTACTACTATGTGAATCATTTGGTCTTCTCTGCTTATAAGTAGCTCCTCCGACCTTTTAGTATATGATTTTTTAAATGTACATGTTTTCTCTCCTTACCAACTTATAAAGGAACACCCTGTGGGTGTGGTGTGTGGGGGCTAGAACAAGACTTTGGGCTTGGCCCTATATTTTGTCATTTTGTTATCATTTTGATCCCATCATTGTCTTTTGGGAACAATTGAACAAATCAAAGACTTAACCTTTACTTAAATTTGCCAACATAATGGTTCTTTTTAAGATTCTTTCTTCAAGGATAATGACTTATTAAGAATTTTATGTTAAGGATTGATTAAAGATTTTTAATTTAAGCCGCTATTGAATCGTATGTATGAAAAATATGTAACCCACTTACATATCTAATGGATGACTAAATTCCTTAATGGAGAAACTTCCTTCAAGACAAAGAATCAGCCTTTTGGAATTGACAGAAGATTAACAGCAGAAGACACACAGTTAAACCAGAAAACAGTATCTACAGCCGAGTAAGTAATGAATATTTACTGCAGAAGAGGTGAGGTGGTTTGTGTGTTCTCTTTTGGGTAAAGGTTGGGACTTGGATTATGCCAAATCTACCCTCTTCTTTTTCTTGGGGCTAATCAAATCAAATATCAGTAAATCAATTGCCAACAAAAATACCAGTTAAAGAATAAAAAAACATCATACTAGGGTTGGTGCTACTGCTACCTGGTACAATAAGGCTGCTTTCGGTGCCCCACAAGTACAATAATAGCAAAACTTTTACCAAATGAAAATCCAATCCAGATCTTATTCAGCTCAGCCAAGCAAAGCTTTGAGAATATTATGAATAGTTTTTTCATACATTTTTATTTTTAATTTCTTTCTTTACCAACTGAACCCAAAGTTTCAAACTTTAATTTTGTATTGCTTATATTACCCAATATATTATTTTCCTTACCTTCTGTTGGTGGAGACTGCTACCTGCAATTCTCAGAAAATGCCACACCGCCTATTCTCTTGTATCGAGGACCTCTTAGTGATCTTCCATGGAGGTCCCTCCGTAGTCCAACATAAAAGGAAATAGTGGATCAAAATCATTTCGAAAAGAGACAGCTCCACAGCCAAACACAGCCTTTCTCTGCCTGCCGTATGTATTTTTTTAATTTTATTTCAAAGTAAATTGCTTTCTCAACCAAAATTACATTTTGGGTAGTTTTGAGGTTATCATGAGCTCCTTCTGTGCTTCTCTCCTTTGCTAAAAAGGTCTCTCTGTGTTGTTTTTCAAGCATATCCAGCAGCTCAAAAACAGGTTTCTCTCTCTCTCTCTGAATCTTTAGTTTAGCTAAAGTGCAGAGACTTCCAAGTTCTTATCTTTAACATAAATTCAGAGTATGCATTGTATAGATCATGGCCAAGTTTTCCTTTTTAAGAGGGTTTTATGATTTCTGATCTGGTTTTGGTCGTCAGTCGAGTACGTGTGCTGCAGTGTAGATCTATGTCATAATTCTCTTTTTGTTCTCATACTTTTGTTCCAGATCTGAGTTTCCATTGACCAATTTGGTTGCTGTACCAAAATCTAATAACTTTATGCATTTATTATTTTTATTATCTTATAATTGTTGCTAATTAGTTGTTTCTTTCTTTTCTGGTCTGGTATGGTCTGGTCTGGTTGATGTCTTCTTTAGTAAGCTTAGAGTATTTATTAGATTTTCATTGGTATACAAATTCTTCATGTTTTGAATTATTTGCTTTTGAGTTTGATCTGGATTTACCATCTGCTGGACAATGACATTAGTTTCTTGGTAACTCTACTGCCAAAGGGCGTGAAAGATTCATTTCAGTTGTTACTTGCGTAGGCTTTCTGTCTAGATTTTACTGATGAACTATGGTCATGTAGATATTACTCTGATTTGAAGACCGCTTGTTTAGTGGTGCTCTGCTCAGTCCGTCTTTCATTTCCAGTTACTACTTATGCAGTTGAAGTCTTTTGTTGCCTTTTAACAATCCTAGTATAAACCCTTGTGCTATGCTCAATGATATTCTGTTTGAGAGTTTTATGTATTGATGTATTGATTCGTTTGCTACAACTTAATCCATGTAACGTATTGGCTGGATTTTGCAGGAGTTCCACCATGCTTAAGCAAATTCTAAGCAAACTCCCCCGCAAGTCGCCAAAATCTGATTCATTAGATTCTGCAGGGAGTGATTCTGGCAGCAATACTCCCAATTTGGGCAATGGGTTCCAATGTACAATTGGTGGCAGTTCTCTTACAAGCAAATTAAATGTTGTCAAACGGGTGTCTTCAGCAGTTTTCCCATCAAGCATTGCAGCTGGAGCTGAGGCAGTAGAGCCCCATCTATCCTTCAAAGAGGTTTCAAATCCACAGAAGCATAATCTGTTTATCAGCAAGCTGAACCTTTGCTGCGAGTTCATTGATTCCAGTGATCCAGTTAAGCAAGATCTTAAACGTGAAACATTGATAGAACTTGTTGATTTTGTTTCTTCTGGATCTGCAAAGTTCAGTGAACCAGCGATTTCTGCCTTGTGTAAGATGTGTGCAATGAACCTGTTTAGAGTTTTCCCACCTAAATACCGATCTAATTTTACTGGGGGTGAAACAGACGATGAAGAACCATTGTTTGATCCTGCTTGGTCACATCTGCAAATTGTGTATGATCTTCTGGTTCGGTTTATCAGTTATAGTTCACTTGACATAAAGGTGGCGAAAAAGCATGTGGATCATTCTTTTATCGTAAAATTACTTGATCTCTTTGACTCTGAGGACCCAAGAGAAAGAGACTGTTTGAAAACCATTCTGCATAGGATTTATGGAAAATTCATGGTACACAGACCTTTTATACGAAAAGCTGTCAGCAATATCATATATCGGTTTGTTTTCGAAACTGAAAGGCATAATGGAATTTCAGAGCTGTTGGAGATTTTTGGGAGTGTAATCAGCGGGTTTGCTTTGCCACTGAAGGAGGAACACAAGATATTTTTGTGGAGGGCTCTGATTCCTCTACACAAACCAAAGTCTGTGGGTATTTATCATCAGCAATTGACATATTGTGTTGTACAGTTTATAGATAAGGATCCGAAGTTGGCAAGTACCGTAATAAAGGGGTTGTTGAAGTACTGGCCAGTAACAAATAGCCAGAAGGAGTTGATGTTTTTGAGTGAGTTAGAAGAGGTTTTGGAAATGACTAGCATGGACGAGTTCCAAAAGGTCATGGTCCCACTGTTCCGGCGAATAAGATGCTGCCTCAATAGTTCCCATTACCAGGTAATATTCTGCTGCATAGATTGGATCTCCCTGCCCAAATTATAATTATTGTACTTCTGGGTTTTGTAGTTCGTTTTTTTTTTTTTTTTGGGCTGAAAATCTGCTCGATGATAATAAAGAGCCATGTATTAGCATCACAATGGGGAGGTGAAGCTGTTAAATGATATTATTTCATCCCTTTTCCTTTTATTTTTTGACATTTTTTCTTCTTTTCAGGTGGCTGAACGAGCTCACTTGCTGTGGAACAATGAGCACATTCTTAACCTTATTGCGCATAACCGCCAGGTGATCTTGCCGCTTGTCTTCCCAGCTATTGAGCGAAACACCCAAAACCACTGGAATCAAGCAGTGCTGAACCTGACACTGAACGTGAAGAAGATGTTTAGCGATATGGATGAGGAGCTGGTACTTGCCTGCCAATGTAAGTTGGAGGAGGAAGATATAAGGTCAAGCGCCGCAGCTGAGAAGCGCAGGTTAACATGGGAACGCTTGGAAACTGCTGCTGGTGTCCAACCTGTTGCTTGTAACTTTTTAGCTCCGATAAAGCCTGCTACTTGTCCTGTTGTCTGCTAAATTCTCAAGTAACGGGATTTGGCATGCATAATGTGACAGCTCTAATTGAGTATCAAAAATTAGGTTCTGAATCGGACCAAGAGATGACTAATGGATTCGTGTTAGTGCTTGGATGTTGTTTTGAATTGTATTGATCATGATCCTGCTGCGCTGAAGAAGATCGTAAGGGACCCTTTTGCTTGACGTTATGTTTGTTGACACATCTTGTATCTTTACAGAAGGGTGGTTTGTTGTGGCCTATCTTTTGTAAGTTGTATTTTGTCTCCCTATTAATTAGATGGTGATCTTGCTTATGAATGTTAAGCCATTGGCTTTGCAATGTCCAAAAGATGTATAGCTAAATTTATGTCCTCCCCATTTCGTTTTTTTTGGGAGGTGGGTAGTTTTCGGGTTTGGGACAACATGTTTGACCTGCGCTAGCACGGAATCACATGTACTAGGTGAAGTTCATAAATCTAAATGTTGTTACACTGACTTTTGGAACAACTTTTCACTGATGTATGATACAGATTTTTGTGTTATTGTGTTAGTGCTTTTGTCTTGCTTGTGGGAAAAGGCATTTAGAGTTGATAAACTTTGGATCTTCTTCTGCACAGTAAAGGGTCATCTATAAATCTAGATTCCAATGCTAAATGATGTGTCATGTTTTAGTAGGGATCCATTCATGGAAAGATAAAGCTGGATCACGGGAAGCCCCGCTGGTCATGCCATTGGAATTTGACTTCCATCTTCATTTGGACGGTGACCTCACATGGTCTGCAAGAATGTGTAGAGATACCTATGTACGTATGTATGTATGTATGTATGTATGTATGTATGTATTTATGTCTGTCTGTCTGTCTGTCTAGTGCCCGTCCACCTACCTACTGAAGCTCATACAGAAGAATCATGGAGGGGATGAATGAAACGAGCCGTATAATGTTGATGATATAATTATAGTTTATGAATTACAACTCACAAGCTGTACCAGCCAAAATATCTTCTCTTTTTTTTTTCTTCTTTTTCTTTTTTTCTTCTTTTTTTGTGGTTACAAGTTATGCATGAGGAGGAATCGGATAATAGATATAACATGGGGGGACCAACAAGTAATACCAAATGGGACACTACCATCATTCAATTCAATGACAAAAAGTCGTTGGCTTTGATCATCCATCCGAATTTGTAAGCCTCAATTTGTTGTTGCACAGCAATCTATCAGCATTCTCTGTTTTTCTGTGTTACTTTTGGTGGGAGAAAGAAACAAGAGAGAATGGATGCACCCCCAGGGTATCAAGAAATGTCGAGTGTTGAGCATATTAAAAGGCGCCATGAGGAGAAAGGCTGCCTCTATGCTTGGTTAGTATGAACTCAGTCAGTTACCCTTTACTCATCCTTTTTCGACTGAATTTATATATACATATATATATATATATATTTACATAATTGTTTTCCCCCTTGCTTTTGTGATTGTTGTGATGCAGTTTGTTTACACTGTGTTGCTGTTTCTGCTGCTATGAGACTTGTGAATGTTGTTTAGACATACTTTGCTGTTCCTGCGCTTGATAACTTTATAAGTTATTTACTATCTCATCTTTAGAGACGGAGAGGGGAGAAATATTTCTCATGAATAAATTATGTAATTGGTTTTTAAGGGAAGACATAAACTTCTTTAAATAATTCCGTTTTCCTGGTGAAAATGGATGAAATCCTCAATTCCGTTTTAGATTTGAGCTTATATATGCATCTGTAATATGTATATGAATAAGGAATAAATATGTAGTGATCAGTACGATATTTTGATATCTAATTCGATGATTACTTTCCTTTGCCAGCAGACCTTAAACTAATTATCATACACATCTCTTTTTAACCAGCAAATCTTTTCACAAGCATGTAATTTTTGGTTATCAATAATATCCGAGACATGCAATGATTATATAGGGCACCTGCTGTAAGGTGCGATTAAATTAAATAGGGCTGGGCACAGTTCAGTAACTTCGGCCAACAGAAAAATAAACAAAATTCAAGAGAATGATCTTAAGTCCCACCCTGCTGCCTGTTTTGCAGCTGAAAAACGTACAGAACACTACTGGTTTAGAAGACAGAAAATATGCACGACGGAAAAGAAGTAAATTAAATGCACACGTTCTCTATATCCCCAATATATGTTGAGCAAGATACAGCAACCATCGTTATCCGCTAACACATGCTTTCAAATTTCGTGTACATAATTGTGTATCACAGCCAGTGTTTACCTTAACTCACTAATCCATCTCCAAGTATCAGTTCCTCAAACACTCTGTGAAGCCCACTTATCAGTAGGTTAGCATTTAGAAAACTCTTTTTCAAATCATGGTTTACAAGGACACGCACTAAGGTGCTGGTACATGGATGATCTGAGCTGATGATCATTCAGTTGAGCAGGTTAATTTCAAAAGATGTAAGTGCAGGCAATGGAAGTGAGGATTGTTGTCAGCAGTATTGACACAACATTCACAGCATTGTTGTCAAGATAGTTAAGACCTGAAATTTTCTTAACTGTTGGCCCTGGTTTTCCAACAACCTAGAAAAAGAAAACAAAAAAGAGTTGGAATGAGATTAATTGAGCAGAAAGTGGAAAGAATGAACTTAAAGAGTTATGCAGATTCAATTGTTGCCTTCATGAAAACATAAGATTCACGTTTGCCTTAACGCACTTTATTACGAACAGTGCAGAATCCACTGAATTGCAGTGTTGCTCCCAAAAGAGAATCGATGAGGCTGCCACATAGTCCGGCAAGAGTAGAAATGGGTATCACCAACAGCTGCTTCAGTGCTACATCATATGTACATTTTGTAGTGGGAAATCCAAAGACCACATATGTGAGTCCGATAACCGAACCTGCAGCTGCAGCTGCCAGTAATCCTGCTTTTGTAACTCCACCATTTGTACCCTTCCGAACAGGCTGCCAACAATGTGGAAACCAAATTAGTATCCACAGTGTACTTATTCAAGCAGCCAGCTAAGTTCTTTTCTTCTATCCTGCCAAATATTTTTCCCCATAACCCTGTAAATCCCAATCGTGATAGGATAAACCACACATCTTCAACTTTGAAGGCAAGGTAAGTTCTTAATAACATTAGTCTATGAGGCCATTGGTAAATCTTTAGAACAGTCAAACATGACACTCATAAGCATAGCAAGAATGTGAAATAAGATTTTACAAGAAAGATGTGAAATGGGGTAAACAATAATGATACATGTACTATTTTTAACATTGAGTTAAAGGGCAAGTTTACTAGGTAAGTATCCAGAAGAGAGCCGTCAAAAACATTGCGACAAGCAAGACTTTAATGTGTAGGAATAAATGGGTGAGCTCAAAATAAAGCCAGAAGAGCAGAGCAGGGCATATGCAGCAAGGCAGAACAAGATAGGGAAAAATCCAAACTTCCTAAAGAACAGAACTAACATAAGCAAAATTATTGATTTGACCAAAAACCCAAGTGAGAAGAACACTAAAATCTGAGTTGAGCATACGAACCTTGAAGGTTGTGATTAACCTAGGCTGAGCATCGCTAAGTATTCCAATCTCAGAAGACCAAGTGTCTCCATTGCAGCAAGCATAGTGACCTATAATCCCACCAATCAGTGATGTAATGAAAACCGACTCTTTCGAGTCCAAGCATTTGTCTTGCAACCCCGTTTTCGCCCACAGAACAAGAACCAAGACTGAAGCAATCCCGCTGTTCGATAAAACTTGTACCCAATTTCTTTGACCGCCCTCTTTGAAATCAGCGTCAACGCGACGCTTCTTGTCTTCACCAACCTTGGTCAGCTTTGACGATGTGAAAAAGAACACGAGCAACAGAGCTCCATACCTTCAAATTTTTTTACAAAGACGAAAAACTTTATTAAACAATTCGCCCTTTTGGGATTTGGATGCAGAGAAAGAGAGAGAAAAAGGAAAGAAAATCGGCGTGCCTGTATCCGATTGCAATGTGAATGGTCATGACAGCAAAACCCGCGATTGCCCCTGAGAGGTCCAGGGATTTTCTACGGTAGGCTCTGGCGGCGATCAACGACGAGATTACAAGGGCGACTAACGGTTGGATTAAGAGTTTATCCATGTTTGCGGCTCTAAGCATGTAAATTTTTGTTTTCACGATTATGGTGGAAAGGAAACAAAAGGATAGAGCGGAAAGAATGTGTGCTCAAACGGCCTACACTGACCCAACTTTTTATTTATTTTATTGAGAACGAGGTGACCTAGAAATTAAAAAATTAAAACAGACTACCAATAGCGGACCTCACTTCAATTGGTCACTCCCTCCACATTTTCATCCAATTTAAGAGAAAAATTAAGCCCACCTAATTTCTTTAATGGAGAAGCACCATATGATAAACACATGGCAATCACGCAACAGTAAGCTTATAGCTGGCACACAGAAAGTTGATTTATTTTCCTTTTTCCTAAATAAGTGATTGGTCCCAAAGAAAGTTGATTTAAACAGCCATGCAAAGCCCACCAACCCTTTTTCGTGTTTAGATAGAGTATATTCTTGGCCGAGGCTGATGAATCATTTCATTTTGCCCAAAAATTTAGGCTTTAATTTCACCCCAGACAATGAAGAAGAAGACGGCTGCTTGTTGACAATAGAAATAGACCACAATCAGTGGAACTGCAGCTAAACCAGCAAAAATTTAAGATTACCATAATCACAAATAAAAATATTTTGAAAAAAACTACCTGGCACACACAAAAAATTGATGAGAATACAACAAAATGAGGTTTTAAAACGTCAACGAAATCCTCCTCTACCCCTCCCCCCACCTCTACTCCTCCCCCGCCCCCTTCCTCTTCCTCTTCCCCTCCCTTCCTGTCCCATTCCACGACCACCCTCGTCATCTCTTTGGAAGTTAAACATGCTCATTTTTATATTCTCTGCATTCACATCACGAGGAGGACCCTTTTGTACCTGAAGTTGCAGCATAATGACATCAAATACTTGCAATACAACAACAATGACAATAATAATGCTCATAAGATGCAGAGGCACTGACATGATAATCTTCCAAATCAAATTGATTTTGGAGCTGCCTTGCAAGTTCCTCGTCACGACTGCTCTGTGCAAAGGGATTTCTTATTGAAGGCTTTGCTCCAGCTTTCCTCTTTTCCCATTCATCCAAAGTGAACACCACAGGCTCTTCCTCTTGCCTCCCCTTTCCTCTATATTGTCTACCTCTTGAATGCCTGTCATCCCGGTTTTGATGACTCATTTTCTGGAGGAGTTTTTGTGCAGCCGCTTGGTTTTGAACAGGGACAGCTTCAATTACTGTAGAAGCCATGGATACATCAGTATCACATTACAAAGTAAACAGAAACGTAGAACATTTACAATAAAATAAATACACAAGTTAACTGAATTCAGTTGTGTGAATTTTGTAATTAGTCCATTTTACATATCCGTCGATCTGGACAAAATTTAGAGAGGAGCACATATGCCCCATTTTAAGATTCAAGTATTACTCTGACACCTTCCACCTGTCTCATCTACAAGCACATATGCCCCACTAGTAACAATCATTAATAATCATTCAACAACCCTGCCACACCCCCTCCCCCCATTCTTTCCTCCCCAAGTGACATAAAATCAAACTTATATAATGAGTTACAGATGCAGCATAGATAATAATAAAATATAATAAAAAGTTGCAAGCTGGACTTAAAAATGAAGATCCACCTTCTTTTGGCCTCGCTGCAGAGCTACTAGGTTTATCTTGAGTTTGTTCATCAAGGGAATCTGTCGTAAGCTTGTTATCTGTGTCATTCTTTTTATCAGAGTTATCCGCGTCGTTTGATTTCAAATGAAGGTCCTGCTGCCTTCCAATTGGCCTAACCTCAACGTTTCTGGCAATAGGCCCACTGCTCTTGGAGTTCACATCAGAGTAATCTGCCAATGATTGCATCTTGCTCATGAGTTATGCATGCATTAGCAATCCGAACATTATGGTGAAAGACATAAACTATTAAAATCTTATGTAATTAAGAGCTCAAGAATACTGACAAGAAGACTTGTCCTGCTGAGGAAACCGACTTTTGGGTACCCCAACTTGCAACTTCTCAAATGGAGGGGGGCCGTTACCGTCACTTTCCTGTGAAACCCTTAAAGATGAGCGGGAAAAACCTGAATATTTTTTATTCATCTGCCATTCTTCATAAAGTGACTGAACAACGCCTCCTAACAAAGTCACAACTTTAGGATTCAAACATACTATTCCATTACGTATAGCAGCTCTACCTTCCAAACGGACCTGCCAATCAAAAGCAGGACAAACAATCTTTTGTTCAGTTAACAAGAGATGTGACCTTCATATATGCACCAGTTATCCATGAAATTGAGAAACAGGGAATAGAGAGACACTGAAAACTTGTTCCAAAATTTGTATCAAGGTTCACATGACCAGTAACATACAATAAACACAGCCTGTAGCATGTAGGGAATAGGGAAATCCCAAGCATAGTGTGACAGATTCTTCAAACTGGTATCATATCTCTTGCAAAAGTACTTGTGTTCCGCACAAAATGGTAATCAACAGACTAACTGTCAAACTTAGAAATTTCATCCATTGGAATGTTGAGCTAAAAGTAACATATGGGATAACGAATTGTTGAGCTCAAGTGAAATAATTTAAGTACGTTCGTCTTGCACTTGGATTTATCAAGCCCAATATATAATAAATTATTAGTTTTCCAATGGGATTCACAATTGTGCAGCTCAATTTCTATTAGTTTGCTATTAAACTGAAGACAAATTCCAAAATATGTTCAATCAATGACAGCTCTAAGTTATTTACATAGATATAAAACGCAAGCTGGGCATTGAGCTAGCATGAAGCAACAGGGAAGTACCTTTGTACCAGGAACGACGTCGTCAGGGATTGATGGGATATGAGAGTACTCTACAGCTGCTACCTCGCTGTGGCCGTCTGTTAGCCCAAGCTTTAAAAGACGCCGACTACTTGAATTTCTCGCAAAATCCTCCACACTGCTTCTGGTAATGTCTCTAACCCAAGCTATCTGATAAAAAGACAAACGAAGACCGCATTTTTCTTCGTCTTTATGTTTTTTCTCGGCAACCAAACAGAGAACAATAAAAATTCACGAGAGAGTTGAGAGGTGTGATTGCCTGGAGGACTTGAGGGCCGAGAAGATGAGATGATTTGGGGAGAGTATTCGGGTCGGGCAAGGACTTGGCGGAGATGGATTTGAGGTCCATGTTGGTGAGCTCCGATTCCACTGAATTCACCACCGTACGCGTGTCGTCGGCCAAAGCGGAGTGGATCATGATCATCGCCTTCACTTGTTCCAGGTCGCCGAAGCACCATCCCCTGCTCCTTAGGGTTTCGATTGCAGCGTCTGAAGCACCGGAGCTCTCCTCCATTTTAAGCGCCTGTTTGCGCGGCTTTTGATTTTGGGGCTTTTCTTAGCTTTTGCAATTGCAACAGAGAACGAACAATGTAGGATGTGGTCCCATGTTGGCCATGAAACGTCGTCGTCTAGGCTTCAGTGAGAATCAGGGGCGGACGGGCCGAGGACCAAAAAGGGCCTACATCACCCAACAGCAAGGAACAAGGCCATGTCCATGTTCTTAGAGGTGTATAAGTTGATGGGCCTTAGGCAGGGCTTGGGCCATCCTGGTATAGAATGATCAAGTCCGGCAGGGCAAGTAGGTAGTTTATTAAATATTTAATAAAATAAAAAATAGTGGGGCATCATGCCATGTCTCAATAAAATGAGAATTTTAGGTGCCACCGGTTGTAATTAGTTAGAGGGCATAATTCTTGGATGACCCTCATCGCATCACATTTAAAAGAAATACTATGTTAGTGAGCGATTTTGCGAAGTGTACTTGTTACATCAATTATTTATATAATTTATTATTGGATGAATCATGCATCATTTAGAGGCACTTGGTTTCGGTTGGAGATGTGCATGTGGAAAGTAGAATGTGGTTGATGTGTAATATATATATATGTGGTTTTCTAATTACCAGGTAGTTTCGTGTATCTTAATAGTCGGTTACCAATTTGTGAGCTACTCTCACCAACCAACCAGAAGACAATGAGAGAAGGAAGGTCCTTGAGCCTTTGATATAAACTGCAAAGGCAGCTGCAAGGAGAGGGGACGTATATATCACGATGCATGAACTGATCATGTTGTGTTGGGGAAATGCTCGATATTATGGTTTGATCAGACAATTTTTCTTTGAAGTTATGAACATTTTTTAAAAAACCCATGCAATAAATCTCACCACATAAAAGATATAGGTCACATGGATTTATCCTTTCTTTCTTCTAGATCACGGAGCAGCAGCAGTGTGCTACTGCTGTTACTTTTTTCAGTGCGGGGCCTCCTACATTAAGTTACCATTAATATCCCCAACGCCATATACCAAGTTGCCAACTATAGGGGAAAAGGAATATGCAACTGGCAGGAAATTTTTCCCTAAATTATCTTTATTTACTCATTTATTTCTGAGATGTTTGTTGAGATGGCCTTCTGTATGGATGGGTATAAATCTCTCGTCCATAATGGAGGCAGAATTTAATCCTAGCTTTCTGGTATAAAAAAGAAGGTAGAAACTATGCCTCTGCGAAATATAAATTTAGAAGTCGGCTTACTTTAAGTTGCTCATCAATAACCAAATTATAAAATAAAATGCAGTTTCTTAAGTGTCTCAATCGGTTGAGAAATTAGGTTAGCAGCTACACTCAACTCAACTCATTATTAACGGCTTTAAGTAAACAGCACAGAGAGACTCGGGCAGGGCTTCAATGAGGTTGTAGCTAACATCTGTACTTATGTTCAATTATGTTGGAAAGACACCATCAGTAATTCCATATTCTAGTTTCTTAGACTAAACACATTTACAGGTTTAATTTTTTTGACTCCTCTCTTATAAATGTAGTTAGAAGTTGATCAATTGAGTGTTAGTTGGATTGGCTCAGTCAAGCATGCCTTTTGTGTGCTCTCAATGGTTCTGGGTTCAAGTTCCCCATAATACCAGTGTGTGTGAGCTTTTCCCCTCCACCTTCCTACCGCTTGCAAAAAAAAAAAACATATGTTGTAAGGGTAAATTCTTTAAATGGTTCTCAAACTTATACCCGATTTACATTTTGGTCCCTCAACTAAATTATTCGTTCAAATGGTCCATCAACTCTATATTATTCACTCTAGTGGTCGTACCGTCTAATTTTTTGTTAAATTTAACCTAATTTTAGGGTAAATAATGACCAATTTGCCCTCACATTTAACGAAAATATTGACAGAATGTAACGGTATGACCAATGGAGTGAATAATATAGAGTTGATGGACCATTTGAATGAATAATTTAATTGAAGTACCAAAATGTAAATCGAGTATAAGTTCGAGGACCATTTAAGTAATTTACCCTAAGTTGGAAATAATATTCTAGCTTGAATTAGTAGTAGTTTGTTAATCGATTCATGTCCTATCATTGTTAAAAATAAAATAAGTGGCAACAGTCACATTGCCAAAGGACTTTGGACACTCCGACAAATGAAACCACATAATAATGGTGACTTTTTTTTTTTTTTTTTTTTTACGAGTATACGGCATGAAAGGTTCTTATATGGTAGTTGAGTGTGATAAATGAAAATTTCGCAGATTTGATTGAGTAGACAGGAGGACATCATAGATTGTTAAAGATGTTTGGTTGATGAAAATGACTGGGGTTCAGAATTTCAACAAATACCATATATTATACACAGGACGAGACAAAAGGACAATTAACCCAAAAACTATTCTCATGCACAAGTCACTTCCAGTATGTGTAAGTGTAAGCGAGAACTTCATGCTAGCTGTAGACAAAGAAATATATTTTTGCCGATTTAAAACAAACATTTTATTCACGATCTCGTGTGTATGTTGTAAGACTCAGTTGCATCAATCTCTAATTATTTGTGTATGTGAATGATCTCGTGTGTATGTTGTAAGACTCAATTGCATCAATTATATTTATTGTTAATCGCATGCGTGTGTAAATGAATTGCAGGCAGCTGATTGCTGATACTCAAAACACGAGTGTTGTGAGTAATGGCCACAGAAGGCAAATCCACCTCTGGAAGAAGGTCAGTTACTCTGCTTCGGTTTAAGAAGTAAAACGTCAACCTTTTTGCCTCTTAACTTTGACTTTTACCGAAAACGGCCCCACTGTACCAACACCTCACCCGCCGTTTTATTTTTACTCGAAATCACCCAACACGGCAGTAAAAAAAGCAAAACCCATCTTCCCGGCCGTTTCATTCAAATTCCCACGTAAAATCCCACCAACCCACGCGCCAAACCTGCAACCTCAACGGTCCTTCTCCTTGGTGTAATACCAGCCGTTGGATGAAGTCGGGTGGTTCGATTTCAGGGCGAATAGAGTTTATTCAAATAGACGAGCGAGTTCGCGTTTGAAACAAGCCTCGTGCTTTATGTCTTTCCCGCGGCCATTAAATGAGGCTCTGTTTCTGTCTCTCCCGTCCCTGCACACAAACTGTGAAACACTTTAACGTGCACAATGTATTCTACAGTGAGAAAGAGGAGAGAGAGAGCTCAACAAACACAAAGACTCTCTACAGAGAGCTATTAAATGCAGAGCTCAACCACTATTTTCAGCAATCAAATTTGTCTACCTCACATTCAAACCCTACTTTTATTAGTCTCTCTCTCAGTCTAAGCCACAACACTCTGAGAGGGAGAGCTTTTTATTTAGTAACGGTTTCAGGACGCTGCGCAGACATTGATCGGGTTGGGATTTCCGATGTGGAACTCGGCGGAGAACGTGTTCGCGCGAGCATCGTCGTTTACGGAGGAAGGGGAGGATGAGGATGCGCTCCGGTGGGCCGCGCTCGAGAGGCTCCCCACCTATGCCCGCGTCCGACGTGGCATTTTCAGGGACGTAGCCGGAGACACTAAGGAGATCGACGTCAGCGGGCTCGAGGCTCAGGAGCAGAAGCTCTTGCTCGACCGCCTTGTGAACTCCGCCGACGACGATCCCGAGCGGTTCTTTAATCGCATGCGACGCAGATTCGAAGCGTAATCGTCTTCAATTTCTTGGACAAAAACTTCGAATGACTCCGTTTGGCTGCCGAGAAAATATCAGCAAAGAAAGCAAATTTAGTATCTCATAAATTGATTTTACTATACAGTGCCAAATGAGAGTGTTGAAGTCTCTGTTTTCTCTGTTTCTCAGCAGCCAAACGGATTTTCTTTTTGTCATTCTTAATTTCGTTACTTTGTTTTTTGGCTTCATGCCATTTACTCTAAATATTTCTGTCAAAATTTGGCTTGTGTAGAGTCGATTTGGAGCTTCCGAAGATCGAGGTTCGATTTCAGAACTTGAAAGTCGAAGCTTTCGTCCACGTGGGAAGCAGAGCACTGCCAACTATTCCCAATTTCGTTTTCAATATGACGGAGGTAGAGTTTCTTCATGCAAATTCTCAGTTAATTTCCTTGAATGCAACTTGTTCAATTACATGATTGAGCGCTTGTTAAAAAAAGAAAATAACCTTTGCATTATCTGGATGCCATTTTAGGCCCTTTTTAGGCAATTACGGATATACAGGCCCCAGAGAAGCAAATTAACTATTTTAGACAACATTAACGGGATTATAAGACCTTCAAGGTAGGTATTTTAGCATCAGCTAGTTCTCAATTGCTGAGTTTTCAGTCCAGTGTTTACGTCTAACAAGCTGTGTTGGTGTTGTTTTGTAGATTGACGTTACTATTGGGTCCACCAAGCTCCGGAAAGACGACGCTACTATTGGCTCTTGCTGGACGACTTGGAACTGGTTTGCAGGTATCCAATTGAACGACAGAGATCCTACTAATCGGTATCTCGTTTCGACATTTGCTTTAACTCATTGTACTTTGATCACTCTGAAGATATCAGGGAGCGTCACATATAACGGCCATGTCTTAAAGGAGTTTGTCCCTCAGCGGACGTCTGCTTATGTCAGTCAACAGGATTGGCATGCGGCAGAGATGACTGTAAGGGAAACTCTTGAGTTTGCGGGGCGCTGCCAAGGTGTTGGGACTAAATATGGTAAGCTTTGGGAAATTAGGTACTTGCGTACGTGCGGTGCTTGTTTAGATGCTGACATGAAAACTTTGTCACAGATATGGTATTAGAACTTGCAAGAAGAGAAAAGATATCCGGGATAAAACCCGATGGAGATCTTGATATATTCATGAAGGTACGAGTACTTATTCAATATGTTGATTCCTTTATACATGTAATGATTGCTGATACTTTGTTTTCCAGTCGTTAGCTCTTGGGGGGCAGGAGACAAGCCTTGTGCTGGAGTACATCATGAAGGTATTTGTTCGATGCTGGTTATTATTGGATGCATATCCATTAACATATTCATTTTGAGTATTTGACTGGTTGATGTATCTTGATTTATTATTAGATTTATTTTAGGTACTAAAATATGTTTGACAAAGATTTTAGG